TCCAACTTAAACAAGCTCTGAATTATCTGTGTAAATCAGTTATAAAATCAGAATATGGTAAATTTGACATGCTGAACAAACAATAATGGGATCTAAATAATTTGATTGTTCATTTTTGAAATAGCCAGTGAAAACGTACTTTCAGACTGATTATCCAATTTGGTAAAAAATAGTGGTTCTTGAAATGTTTTTATTTCTTATTTCCAGGCCAGGTTAAAACGACATAGGTGGCATCGGAAGGTCCTGAAGACTAAAGACCCTGTAATTTTTTCTATTGGTTGGAGGCGCTACCAAACTACACCAGTTTATGCCATCGAAGATCGCAATGGAAGGCATCGCATGCTCAAGTACACTCCAGAGCACATGCATTGTCTTGCCACATTCTGGGGCCCACTTGCACCTCCCAACACTGGAGTGGTTGCTGTTCAGAATTTAGCAAACAATCAGGTAATCATTCTTGATTTTCTTAACAAATTTTTCTGATCAAGAAAGGAATCTGATACTTGTCAGCTGAACAGCGTTTGTTTTGCTATAGTAAGGGACAGCTTTACTGTCAATAAATTTTAAGAAATTAATCTGTCTTTGAAGTTTCAAAGAATATCTTGCTGGATGCTTTTCACCACTGTGAGAATGAGAGCGCTTGCATTGTTTTGCCATTGGATGCTGGTAGAATAATGTTTTGTTAGAGAAACACTATTAGATATATTTGATTGGCAGTGATTATGTGTTGAAATGGTATCTATATGACCAAATTTCTGTTTAAACATTCTAGTTAAAAAGCAACTTCAAAAAAAGCAACTTCAACTTTATTGTCTTTTGCAGAGATGGGAATGAATATGTCACCTTTGATGTTATGAATGAATTGATTTAATAGTTTACTTTAAAAAAGGGGTGATTTGGTGGAGGGATAAGGCCACACACCTAGCAGTCAAAATAGCAGCTCATGAATCTTTGAGCTGATCAAAATGCTATTGGAAATTGTCTTAATTTTCCTAGTTTTATAGCTCGACATGTAGGAATGAATGTGACATTCAAGATCCATAAATACAATATTTTAATCTGGCAATGCCATAATGTTTTTGGTCCATGTTTAAGGCATTGAACTTTGTTTAGCAATATGGTTTAATGAGCATCTTTTCAAGCTGAGAGAATTGTTACACATGCATGCTGGTAAGGGACAAATGTTTTTACCATGGCAAAATGGAACCCTGTTCCTCTGGCTGCTTTAGGGGGGTTGTTTTCCCTTGTTCTTTCCCTTTCCCTTTTATTTTTTTCCTGTCCTGACTACTTTTCTCTTGATTTTAGGCATCATTCCGAATCACAGCAACTGCAGTTGTGCTTGAGTTCAACCATGCAGCAAAGATGGTGAAGAAAGTCAAGCTGGTTGGTCATCCATGTAAAATTTTCAAGAAGACTGCACTTATTATGAATATGTTTACTTCAGATCTTGAAGTAGCTAGGTTTGAAGGTGCTGCTGTTCGAACTGTCAGTGGGATCCGAGGGCAAGTGAAAAAGGTAGGGCTGCTAGTGAAGAAGCTTATATTCATTCACTGTTATATTGTTTCATGCCCCTAATTGTATCTTTCATCTTATACTATTCAAAATCCTGTCTAAAGTTATCTCTAACTGTTTTTAAACTGACCAGGCTGCAAAAGATGAGATTGGCAACCAACCCACAAAGAAGGGAGGGGCACCAAGAGAAGGGATTGCCCGGTGCACCTTTGAGGACAGAATTTTGATGAGTGACATTGTTTTCCTGCGGGCATGGACTCAAGTTGAAGCTCCTTGCTTTTATAACCCGCTGACAACTGCCTTGCAACCTCGTAATAAGACCTGGCAAGGGATGAAAACTGTGGCTGAATTGAGGAGGGAACACAATCTTCCCATTCCTGTCAATAAGGATTCACTTTACAAGGTAATCTATGATGGTGGATGTAGTCTGGGGCCCTAGTTGCTCCCCCAACCACCTTTCTTTCTTCCTGAAAATGCCGGAAATGGGATTTGTATTTTAATATTGTTAATAAACAATGTTTTATGTATTTTAACAGCCAATTGAAAGGACGCCAAAGAAGTTCAATCCATTGGTAATTCCCAAGTCATTACAAGCAACTCTTCCATTCGAATCCAAACCCAAGGACATACCCAAGGGACGGGCCACACTTGAAAGGAGAAGAGCTGTTGTTATGGAGCCTAATGAACGTAAAGTTCATGCTCTTGTTCAACAACTTCGATTGATTACAAATGATAAGGTATGCACTTGAACAGGATCCTGAATTTCATGACTTGAATAATTGATGTCAAGTCTTTGAAAATGAATATTGTGGAGTTCAATTGAAAGATTGTTTCTTAAGCGGTCAAAGTTACTGTTGCCATTGGGCAGTGTTTTTTTTTTAAAATATTTCTTGGACTTCGATTGATTACAAATGATAAGGTATGCATTTGAACAAGATCCTGAATTTCATGATGACTTGAATAATTGATGTTCAAGTCTTTGAAAATGAATATTGTGGAGTTCAATTGAAAGATTGTTTCTTAAGTGGTCAAAGTTACTGTTGCCATTGGCCATTTTTTTTAAAAAATATTTCTTGGAGTTACTGGCCTGGCCTTAGAGTGAATAGAATTATCTTTTATTTCTAGACCTGCACTGATTACTTGTATGTGGTGTTGCTTTATAGTTTAAACTCGGTTGTCAGAAATGAGCATGAATCCCACAATAATTGCATTTATCATTATACTTGGAAATTAAAGGGCAAGGTTATGAAGAAATACATGCATACAAATTGCTAAGCCTCATCTGCAAACTAGTTCAGGCCTTCCATGTTTCCTACCAAAATGAAATGAGAAATGGATTTATGTTCCCGCACTGTAACTAGTTTGCATCATTCTAGCTCTAGCCTGCATGTTTATATGCATTTTGTCCTATCTGTTCTCATTGCTGAGTGATTTTTAGTGTGGAAGTGCTAAATTCTCCAACAAAATGTGGCATTACAGATGAGGAAGCGAAAGCTTAAGAAAGACCAGGAAAGAAACAAACTTGAAGCAGAGAAAGCGAAGGATGAGGAAAAACTTGAAGCAGAGAAAGCCAAGGATGAGGAGCTGTCTAGAAAGCGCAAGAGGGAAGAAAGAAGGGAAAGGTACCGGGTGCAAGAAAAATTGAAGAAGAAAGCTAGGAGAAATTCAGATGCCTGAGGTTCTTGAACAACGTTGTTTCGATTTCCCGTGGTCTTTCCATCCCCTGGGCACTAAAAATCAGGTGCACAGATTAGATCTCAGAGTGAGCAACTGAGTTCACTGTGTCGTTGACAAAATGATATACAAGCTCTCATTGGACCTTATCTAGTGATTGTTCAAGCCCCATCAACCTGAATCAATTTTTTCTGACCTATAAGCTATTTCCAGCATTGCACCAGCAGCTGTGTCCTCGCGAATGCTGCAACGAGTTGCTGTTTTGTGCGTTTTGAGTGTTGTATTGTGGGATTTGAATACATGAGGAAGGTTGAAAAACTTTAGTTGTAATTAGATACCTTTTGCATACAAAATTAATTAAATTGTTGACAAAGAAAGACATTCCAGTTGAGGTCCATCTCTAATTTTAGAGAGGCTGTTGCCTGGAATAATGAGAGTACAATTTTTTGCTTTTGTTTTTTTATCAACTAAAACTCAATTTTTTATTTATTTTTATAAATGAATCAATCTATATAATTGAGCAAGTATTAAAAATAATATTTATTATATTTATATATAATATCTAATTCTTTAATGTCTCTCTGTCAAGGTTTTTTCACATATGTATATTTGACGTGATTATATTTTTTATTTAAAAAACTGTTATTGAGTTATATATGAATATAATTTTAATTGTTTTTATAAGAAATGAAAAAATAAATGCTTTTTTTATTTTTTATGTTTGAGTAATTTTGAAACATCTTACTTTGTAAAATATTTTGAGTAATTTTCTAAAAAAATATTGTATTCTTATATAGTACAAGAGCAATTTGGGAACGAAAAATATACTTTGATATCATATAGGGATATTGTGAAAACTTGTTCAATTAAATTAGAGATGATAGTAAGTATTTATAGGTTAGGTTTTTTTATATACATATTTTATTTATTAGGTAAATAACTTGATAATTATATTCTATTTGTTAGATTTTGAATATTCATTTTATAACTATTATTTATTATTAGAAAAACAAAATAATAATATATATACATGTGTGTGTCACTATTAAGATACATAAATATTCTATTAAACTAAAAAAATATATTATATTTATATTTATATTTATATATCTATATAATATAAATTTTTAAATTAGATTTGTATTTATTAATATCTATATTATATACATTGCCAAATAAATAAGGTAAATAGATATAAAAAAATTCACTCAATCAAATTAATTTGAATTAGTATTTATCATGATCGGATTAAATTACCATTCCTGAATTAAAGTATAAATTAACTTATTTACCACTTTTTATTTTTTTAAATGATTGACTTGTATTAATATTTTAAATAGTTGATCTAAGTTAAAAAATGAAAACTAAATTTAAAAAGATATTTATCAACAAAAAAAATTAACCAAATTTTATTATTATTATGTTTTTCTTTTCCAAAAGATGAAAAAAAATATTTTTGACTAATTTATTTTTATCAAGAACAAAAAAAAATAAAACAGTAAAAAGATAATATGAAATATTAATATGAAAATAATATATTGTTTTGGAAAAAAATTATTATATTAAACATGGTTACAATAGTAAAGGGATGAATCAATCACTTTTAAGCCTAAAGGGATTATATAATTTATGTCACAAAACTAGAGGGACTAATTTATAACTTACTCTACGACCAACCGCCTCCGTTGCCTATAAAGGCAAGCCATCGCCCGCCAAATTAGACCACTAATATCTTTCACTTTCCAAAGAAATTCAAAGCACTCTCTCTATCTCTGCTTGGTAATCTTTTCTTCTTGTCTAAGGTTTGCTTTTCTTGCTTTTCTTTAGGGTTTTCTTGTTATTGTTAGGTTTGCTTTTCTTTTCTCTGTTTTTGCTTATTATTATTACTGTTGATTTCTTGCAAAGTAAGTAATAAACATGACTGCAACACTAATAACAAGGAAAGATCATCATCGCCCTAGGGTAGTGCCTAATCTTCACAATCCAGTTCTTGATTCTGAAAAGAGATCAAGAACAAGTTACATGGCACAGCAGCAACAAGGTGGAGACTATTATCATCGTAATCAACTAGGGCTTCAAGCCAAGAAACCGAGGGTCGATCGTTTTAATAATAATGGGGCTGTCAATTTCGGTCCAAAGATTCAATCTTTTCCGCAGTTTGAGGGCAAGAAAGTGGAGATTAATTATGGGGTTTCTGGTTTCGATGCTAGGGTTCAAGCCCGGAAGCCAGAGTTGAGTAATAATGGGGTTTTGACACCGATGTTCCGGCCTTTGCCACAACTTCAGGATCAGAAAGCAGAGGGGAGTAATGGTTTTTTTATGCCAAATTTGCAAGCTGGGAAGCCTGAGGGTAATAATTTTGTGGTTTCAAGGCCGTATCCTCCATTTTCGCAGCAATTTCAAGGCAAGAAGCCAGGGTTTTATAATGGGTTTTCAGTGCCAAATTATCAAGTTTCTCGACATTTTCAAGACAGTAGTTTGAAGGTTGATAATGGAGTTTTCAATCCAAATCATCCAGCTATGCAGCAGGATCAAGAGAAGAAGTCAGAGGTTAACAAGGGGTTTTTTATGCCGAACCTTAATTTGTATAGTTCAAAGTCACTAGGAGGCCCTTTGTATTCAATGCCAAATCCTGCCATTGTAAAGCCCATGTTGAATCAAAATGTAACTAACATGTGTTTGCTGAATTCACAATCACATAGTTCTCTTGCGTCTTCTGGTTTGTTAACAAACTCTTCTTTTGTGCTTTCTAATTCTTTGAATGATGATGTTAAAAATATGTATATTAATTCAGCTCCACTGCATTCTGTTTTCTTAACAAATTCAGTGTTGTGTAAAAATGCAGTTAATAAAAATGGGGGTTTCACTCCAAATCCCCCAGTTATGCAGCTTAATTTGGTGAATCGGAGCGCTGCAAACGTGCCTTTGAATTCACAGGCTCAAGTAGCCTCTTGCTACTCTGATTTGCTAACCACTTTGGTTGGCAATGGAATAGTTTCTTTGGCTAAACATATTCTGATTTGCTAACCACTTGCAATGGAATAGTTTCTTTGGCTAAACATGAAGTCCAAAGTAATAATGCAAATAGTTGCGAATTCAATTGTGCACCAAAGTTGCTGGAAACCAGTAACCAACTTGTGGCTAATGGATGTCCTGGTTTGAGAAATTCACTCATGAGTTCCTTGATTAAAAAGGAAGATGATTTTAGGGGTGTTGTTGTATTTGATACAAACCAACTTAAGGTGAGGCATGAATCTGTGATTAGATCCTTGTATGCTGATATGCCAAGACAATGCTCCACATGTGGAATCAGATTCAAGTTCCAAGAAGATCATAGCAAGCATATGGACTGGCATGTGATTAAAAACTGGACAATCAAGATATCTAAGCAGAGAAGCATTTCTCGTATGTGGTTGGATGGTGTAGATATGTGGCTGGCTGCCAGGGCAGGTGTTGCTGCAGTTCCTGGATTTGCAAAAGCTGATGCTCCTGTAGAGAAGGAAAAAGAAGAAGATTGGATAAGTTCCACTGATGAAAACAAAGTATGTGCCTTGTGTCGAGAACCATTTGAAGAATTCTACAGCCACGAGGCTGATGACTGGATATTCAGAGGAGCTGTCTACCTGAACGCGGAAAAGAAATCAGCAGCTGAAAGCATGGATAGGAGTCGATTAGGTCCTGCTGTGCATGCCAAGTGCAGGCCAGCGTCCAAGTAGTAGTTAAATTTGGGTCATACAATTTGTGAACTCCATTCTATCTTGATGTATTAACCAAGGAAGTAATGCTAGTAGTCAAATTTGGGTTATACAATTTGTAAACTCCATTCTATCTTGATGTATTAACCATATGCTAGTGAAGGTCAAGCAAATATTGTACATGTTACTCTCTTCACTGGAGTAAACATGCGCAAATATTCTGTTAATACATCCTTGTAATGACAAATTCTCTTAATAAAATTCATCAACTTTTGTGTCAAATTTTATCCTTGCATCAGTGTTATATTTCTTCTAAATTTATATTTTTACATTTCAACAATGGCAATTCAATGTCAAGGCAGGTTAAATTACTGTTATATTCAGCACATTGACAACAGTAAGCAGTACAAACTACAAAAACACCCAAAATTACTGGAATTATTAAGCACGTAAACTGTAAAAGAAGTATTGAATGAAACGTATCAATGTGCATATATTAGATTGTCTTATTTCAACTTGAGATTCGAAGAGTAATAGTTTTGAGGACAAAACAGGAGTAAAAAGTTGGCTAAACACTTAAACTACATTCTATTAAAAACGAAAAACGAGGAGAGCTTCAAATACGGTAGACTCGTCTAGGTCATAAAGCATCTCAATAAATGGTAGTTGCTCGAAAAATCTTCATTCGTGCAAATGGATATCCATAGTTGCCTTCAAGTATCAACACATCTTCAAATAGACCTGTTCCTCCAATCCTGAATAACATGTGAAATACCGGCTAGCTGCTCCAGTTGACCCGATTCTCAGCCTTGAATAAAGAATCCTTGGCTGCACAATCCTTTGAAGATCTGTTCTAGAAAGCTGCGTGAAATCAATGTCGACCAAACCTTTTTCCAGATTAGGCCAGATTGGAGAAGGGGAAGCTCTCTCATGTTTATCAAATCACCATGAGTTCTGTTTGCTTCAACTAAAAAATCGCTAGCTACAGTGTAGAACAAGTTTACATGAAAGGATATCAGTGATGGAGCATATAAGATAACAAATAACTCAAAATGGTGATGAAGAAAAATCAAGTACAACGTGAAGTCCAGCGAAGATGATGACAAAACCATCTGAAATCATTTTATTTCATCTTCGTTTTTTTTCCCGTTTCCCCTGAACTAGTGAAGCAGGGTTCAACATCTATGTAACATCTATCTCACAATCAAATTTGATCATGGCACAATCTTGCGTCTGCTGCGAGGAATTTCTCGTCTAACATACATTTTCTTGATCTCATCCAGTGAGCTGGACTCATCAGGCAAGCTCACAAACTTCCAGCCACCACCACCACGCCTCCCATTTTTCCCCAGTTTTCTCCACTGTGAACTTCCAACCCCCAGAAGGACGCCGCTGCTATGCTTGTGGCATTTCACCTGTCCTGCCATCTGCACAAAGGAAAACCATATATCATATGGATAATCTGCATGGATTTAATGAAACTTTTAGCTGCTTTCCAACACAAAATTGAATAACATGCTTGCAATTTGATGAGCAGGCATACGGAAAGGAATAAATCCAATGGATTGCCTATGCCAATCCTTAAAGCTAACACCAATGCTGATGCCATTTGCATCCGTGATTTGTTTGGATGAGTCAAAATAGCACTGCATTAAGGAAAATAGATTCATCCTCTCCCTAAAGATTCCTTGGTGGCTCTTCTACCATGCTGCTTGCTGCAGGAATCTTTCTCTCTCTTTCTGATATAAGTGGACAAACCGCTCTCCCTGATATTTTCTTTGTCAACAAGACCAAACTATCCAAAGTTTCTGAAAATCCTTAGTCTCAAAGATTAGACAGCAGCTAAAAAGGATAAATGATGAAATCAACAGGGATATGAGTCCATAACCTTCCCAAGTCATAGCTATCCTTTTACCAATACCATATTGCTTTTCAGTTACCACCTTCTCTAGTCAGCGTGACTTCCATTTCCAATTTCATACCCAGAGGCCAGAGTACATCAGACCTTGCTCTCACCCCAATCTACACGTGCACACACATGCATGCATAACAGACATTTGTTGTGCAGTTCTACTCTTTTTTTTCCCCTGATTAAAAGCAAGAACCACATGGGACATACTTTCATTTTGTTGAAGTTCATTTTCTGAACATATTCTTGATAAAGCATCTCATCCTCCTTGGATATCTCATAGTGGACTCCATCTAGATCTTTGATGGTACCATAACAGCCCTCTGGCATCACTTTGAAATCAGGCTTACAGGGAAGCTATATGAAAGTCTCGGTCATGAGAATTGAAAAATCTCCAAAAGAATAGTTGGACTTCTATGAGCCATACAAGTCTATTGCTTTAGCAGACATGGTTTGTTTGATACCTGACATGCATCCATACATTCAGTCCAAATCACATATCTGTACCTTGATCACTGCCTGTGGTTGTATAATGTCAACTATACTACGAATGAGAATGGTTACTTATATACAAAGCAAACACAGCTTATAAGAAAGGAAAGTCATGACATAAAAGGAAGAAATCTGATAGTTTTATTTCAAACAAAGAGTGTTTATAAGGAAAGTCATGACATAAAAGAAAGACATCTGATAGTTTTATTTCAAACAAAGAGTTACAGGAAATAAGAAACAAGTAGCCTCACCACTCCAGCGAATCACTCCCATAGTGGAATCAAACCAATTACAAAGAGGTTTTCATTACAGCATAACCCTCTGGAACTACTAATTTTCAATAAATAGTTTTACAATTAACAGTGACTAAATAACTAGACTTTTAACTGCTAATGCTAATAACTGACATATAAGAACAATATCAGTTATTACTGCCACTGGGATGATAATCCAATAAGATTGAATCAATTATTGGATACCAACTGCCCTCTCTTTCCAACACAAGTGGCTGGAACTTTAGCTTGTACTGAGTACTTCACTCTACTGGAATTTGACTCAACAAAATCCTTAGCTTTATCATCCCTGTTCCCATTGTTAGACTCAATCGATTCTCTCTGTTTAGTTCTGCTTCGAGCACTGCTGTTTTGATCACCAGAATTTGCATCAGTGTATCCATGGACAAACATAAAATAAATCCATGCACAGTATAGAGACACCATGTTCTATCCACATAAGGAGGCACCATGATCAATCTCGAGCACTCAAGTTTGTTTCCATATGAAGCCCATGCTCACATGCATCCAACACATATCACACAGGTATATCCAATAACATAATATAACTTTCTGTGGATGTAATGTTACATCATCGACAAACAAATATACATGCACATGCACAAGCACAGTATAGGGACATTATGTACCTTCTACCATAAGTAGGCATCCATGATCACCACAACTCAAAAAACCTCACAGAGCCCCTCACCATCATTAACCAGTAACACCTGAAAAGAGAGGCACTAGTTGTGAGGGACAAGTTTTCTCCCAGGATGCTATCACCAGCGGAAAGAACGAAAGCAGTGCATTTCTGTACTCAAAACGAAGGAAGTTGATAAAAATCCCTCTTGGTGCAGCATAAAATGATGTTATTCAGGAACTTAAATTTCTTATAAACGACGCTGAGGGACAAGTTTTCTCTCTGGATGCTATCAACAGAAGAAAAAAGGAAAGCAGTGCATTTCTTTACTCAAAATGAGGGAAGTTGATCAAAGTCCCTCTTGGTGCAGCATAAACTGAAGTTATTCTGGAACTTAATCTTTCTTACATTAACGACGCTCAAATGAAGGTGAACAAGGATAAAAGATCATTGCATATCCAAGCAACAATCCTCTATCCTCTATCCTCTATACACAAGGTAGACTTTTTAAAGCTAAAGACAGCAAGGCAATAACTATAATTCCTTTCCGCAGAACAAGACAACTGGGACTGATTCAAGTCTTTAATCATCAGATACTCATCGACCAAAAACATTTGTGCTAACCAGAAAGATCCAGTTTTAATTCAAGTGTACTATTATATTTACTCCTGACCAAGTAAGACATGTGAGACATACAAAACATATCCAGACTAGTAAATTGAAGCAAGACCTGCTAGGTTGGAACATATAGTTTTGATGGAAGAAAGAGTTAACATGGAACGCATGAAATCATAAAAAAAAGCAATAATAATTTGTGACTATTTCTTTGGTTGGTTTTTTGTAAAGGAGTGATGCCTAGAGATCTATAGTCTAGTTCTTTGTTATGGGCAAATTCTAGCTCGGGTTCAAGACGGTAAAACAGAGATAATTAATATACCCAAGTCCATCATCATCTCACACTCAATAATTAGCCAAAACATGGAAATAGATCACACATTAGAAACAGACGGGTATATTCCCAACAATCTATATCTTACTCTAGGAAGTTATCAAGCAAGAGTTTGGTAGAAACATCCATAGGATGACCAGTCTTCTTCTCCTCAATCTATTTCAACGAAAGAATCAAAGGATGACCAGTGTTCTTCTCCTCTTTCTCCTCAATCTATTTCAACGAAAGAATTGCCTGCACCCTTTGCCTCATAATACTGTAATCCTTAGCATGCTTGTCAACAGTGTAAACTTCAGGAATCTCCTTATGCAACCGATACATCTCTGACTTCTCCGAGTCCTTCAAGTAAGAACCTCTTGCACCAGGCTCCCTTATTTGCTTAATCAACACACTAAGTTCGTCCCATCCTTTCAAAATGGCCTCACTCTTTTTAAACACACAAAGTTCGTCAATCCTCCTATCCAATCCTTTCAAAATGGCCTCACTCTTTTTATTCTCAGCCTCCAATTCACGTATCCTATCTTCAATCTCTTGCAAATCATAGGCCAAAGCATATTAATACGCATCTATTGTTCTTCCATCTCCATCATCTTCCCCCCTATCAGTACTAGAACTAGTAGTCCTTTGACTCACCGATGCCACTCCATCAAAATGATCCTCAGTCAATCCAGTTGACCATGACGAAGCAGAGTCCCAACCCAGATCATCACGCTCCCTACCAGACTCACCAAAAGATCCACCAACTGCACTATCCCAATCATCTTCACTGTCACTTCCTCCTGAATTCACTGAGATGAACCTAGACCCAATCACTTGATAAGTATCAATCCCATTTGTTAATGCAACCACTTTGGCATTTTCAGAAGTGATCAGTAGCGAAGGTGATAATTAGAGGTGTCAATTAGGCTTATGAAAAGGTGAATAGCCAAGAAGATTAAAGATGTATTTAATGGCCTTGTTCAAAATATTTAAACCAAATCACATGTTAAGATGAGTTCAAGAAATAATCGTGGTTTAATCAATATAACTCGCATAAAAAAAAAAAGTTGGGAAAGCCTAATAGCTTGCAAATTAGACAAGAAATCTTGGTACCTTACAAATTAAACTTACAAATTAGACTAGGAGAAGTGGTCTTGAATATTTTTTTTATGCATAATTTTATGTAAATAAATATAACTTTTTATCCGGTTAGATACAATTAAACTTTTATCAAAAGATTTTAAAGGTATTGTTTACTATAAAATTAAAATTTTCTAGCAATCAAAGTTTATAAAGGTCTTATGATAAATCCTAAAAACTATTATATAGAAATTATATTATTTTTCTAGTTGGTTTAGAATTTATTTTGCTATTTTATTTGGAACTCTCTTGTTATTGTTTAGAATATTTTATCTAATATAAATAAGGTTATTTAACTTGTATTTAGAATGATTGTTTATCATTTAAAAATAATATTTTGTGTGTAAAGAGATTACTCATGTTCTTGGTTCATCAAACTTTTTAATATTTATTAAAGATTAATTATATTTTTGTGATGTTCTTAGAATATCTCTAATGGAAAAAATCATTTATTTGTACTTTAATGAAAAAAAATATTCCCATTTGTATTTTAATATATTTAATATTAATAGTTTTTTTTTATATAAAAAAAAGTCTAATTTATAAAGGAAAGAATCTTTAAACATTTTATTTTAATGTTTTGTGAATAATTTTTCTATGATAGAACAATCATTTTGACTCTTCATTTAGTTCTTCCATTAAAGCTGCAAAATCAGGGAAGAAAAGTTAAAAAATTAGTTTTTTTTTTTTTCCACTCTTCCATTTGGAGATACCGTTACTTATACTAATTGAAGTTTTTCATTTAATAACTTTATTTGGTTTAAATTTTTTTATTAATTTGATTTTAGTTTTTTTAAATTATTTTTTTAATTGTAAATTTTAAGATTCTTACCCTCCAATTGCTTTATAGACAAACCAACATGGTGGGAAAAAATAATTCTTAAGCTAGTATAACTAAAAAAATAATTCATAAACTAGCATATAACTAACAAATTTGAACCAAGCTTCCCCAACCGTTTAAATATACAAAAAACAACACACATGTTTTATGAGGATCTAATAGCTATAAAAAAACAAAAACAAAATAACCCAAAAGTTGAAAATAAATGACATGGCTAAAAAAGCAAGAGATGAGAGAGAAAAAAATAGTTGAACAAAAATTGGACTAACTTTAATAAAGTCCTCTAACTATATAGATAGTCTAGATTGAGATCCAAAATAATTTTTCATTTCTTATTTGGGTCCCCCAAGCTTTAAAAATTATCAATTTAGTATTTGCAATCATATTTCTTTGTGATTGCATCTATTTTTTTTACCTAGTTGTAAGTTTAAGATATAACTTTATTATATATCTAGAATCTTCAATCAACTTATAAGTTATCATGCTGATTTATAATTTTTTTTCTTGTATTTAAGTAAGATAAAAAATATTTTTTTTATTTTTGATTCATTAAGTTAGTGTAGTTTATTGATTTTTGCTTGGATCAATTACATGCTTGATTTAATTAAATTTCTTATTTATTTTAAGCATTATAATTTCTAGGTTTTCAAATCAACTCACTAGACTAGATTGGGTTTGATAATGATGTTTTGTTTATAAAATTTAATGTATTTTATTAAAATTTGGAAACTCAATTGAGATAAAAAAAAAACCCTATAGGGACTCAATCAAGAAAACGTCCATAGTTAGAAGACTTGTTTAGGGTTAGCCCTAAAAAAATTGGATCCAGGTCAAAAGAAGGGAAGGGCTCAGTTGACCCGGAAATAACAAAGATAAATCGGGTCGGGTTGAGTGTCTTAAAAAAGGTAAGTCTTTTAGGCTACGCTTTATCCGCCAACAACAACAACCACAGTTACAATCAGAGGGAGTTTTCTACTTGAGTGACCTGAGAAAAAAAAAGAAAAAAAAAATGGTTCTGATTTAGGGTTTCTCATCAAGAAAGCTCTCTCCTTTTTTACACCAAATCGATCCATTTCTAAAAAGGATTTGATTTTTATATGTTTTTTCTTGCGGGGCGGCTTGGAACACTAGAATTTATTAAATGGGTTCGTCATTTTCAGGTGGGTCACTTTTATTTTCTGTTTATTTCCTTAAAGTTGTGAACTTTGTGTTTGGTTTCTGAGAGAATACAAGTCGGGGTCTTAGATTTTGCTTTCTTGTGGTTTATAGGACTGTTTTTAGCTTGATTTACTGTGCGGTTGTTTTTCATTATTTTTTGGGTTAAGAAATGTTTGATTCGTCTCTTTGGTAGCTGAGAAAATTGAAATAAAAAAGTACAGGAGTTATTGACCCTTGAGTTCCTTTTTTTTTTTAAATAATCTTGATGGTTTTTTCTTATTTTTTTAGGATAAGAACTTGTGAGTTGTTAAGCCTTTTTTCATTTTAACTAATATTTTTTAAAAAAGTAATTTAGACCATAGAAGTGGAAATCTTAGCTTTGATCTTGCATTTGTTTAAGCAAAGGCTTACTTAGCTGAGGCGGTGAGATTGTCTAGCTGAATCTAAAAGACATTTTCATTTTTTGGCAATTAAAATCTGATGGTATTGTTTAGCTGAAGTAACGAGATGATTTTGCTCACTTGTGTTGAATAATTGAAAATATAGTATGTACTAGGACCAGTAGTGTAGTGAAATACATTATGTACTGGAACCAATCGTGTAGAATAAGTTTGATTCCATGTATAATAAACCTAATATTTAGATTGTGAAGTTAAATGCTCTGTAGATATAATAAGTTTGTGGTTGAAGCCTAAGATCATTACTTTGGTATTGAACTAAGCAAATAAGGGATTCTTTTAATTGCACAATTTAGGAGATTTATGCTTCCTTAGCAAGCTAATAATTGTCATAATTTAGTATGGTTGGAGTAGGTTGGTATGTTTCTGATTTTTTTTTAGTCTCAAGCTACTCAGCATATGGAAAAAACATGCATCCAGCTTGGTTGCTCCTTAATATGCAGTGGTATGTGTGGAGTGTGCCCTTATCTAGTCTTAATTGTTCGGCGTTATTTTTAATTTATGCTGTTCAATCTTGTAATTTGTACAGGTATTCTTGCTTGCTGCGTCATCATGAACAAGTTTAGGGCTGTGATTTAGTGCTGTGGGGTTTTCCTTTTGCAAAATTCAATGGTGCCAGAAGGCTAGTGAAATATGGAGGGTTTCCAGACTATCAGTTGTCTAAAGGGTAAGCCATTATAAGTAGATGAATTCTTCAAATTTTCTTTCTATAGAGAAAGATGAGTGTGTTGATGCTGATAGCTGCCTGATGACTGGTTGCAGGTTTGCTAGGCCATCAGTTCTTGTTATTTATTGTTTGGTTATCCAGTTTCCAAGTAGCTGTGGCATTGCAGACCCTGCTTGAGCCTAATCATGTTTCTTCTACATCTGAGCTAGGCACTCCACCTATTTCTGGAATTTTTGGACCTATTGAAATATCACCTTCTGTCTTCCCACGCTATCCTTATCCTGGCGAGAATTTAGCTCCTATGTACCCAACTTTTCCCACCACATATGAGCCAAATTTAACCGGGAAATGCCCTGTAAATTTCACTGCTATGTCAAATGTCATAGACAGAACCGCATCTGATTGCTCTCAACCCTTGGCAGCTCTTGTAGGAAATGTAATATGCTGTCCACAGCTTGGTAGTTTGCTCCACATTTTCCAGGGTTATTTCAGTGGCAACTCTGATAAGTTGGTTGTGCAGAATGCAGTGGCTGATGATTGTTTTTCAGATATCATTAGTATACTAGCAAGCAGAGGGGCGAATATCACTATACCTACACTTTGCTCTGTTAAATCGTTAAATCTTACTGGTGGGTTGTGTCCTGTGAAGGATGTTGTTAACTTTGAGAAAATAGTAAATACTAGCAAATTACTGGAAGCCTGCAGTACTGTCGATCCTCTTAAAGAGTGTTGTAGACCAATTTGCCAATCTGCAATCATGGAAGCTGCTCTTGAGATTTCCGGGACACAATTGACAATCAATGATAATAAAGATTTGGTGACTGTGCCTAATCATAATGATCCTCTTAGTGATTGTAAAGGGGTGGTATTTTCATATATCTCTAGGAAGCTATCAGCAGATGGTGCAAATAGTGCATTCCGGATATTATCTGCCTGCAAAGTTAACAAGGGTACAGTAGTAATGATTTTCCTTCTTTATGAACTCTTCCTCAGTTTTTGCTGGACTGAATTTCATGAATGCAATGCTAATGTCACATCAATAAATTTCCTGTGCATATATTGCATCTTCTGTGAGGTTCTCCTGTGTTTTAGAACTTTTCAAGATGGAATGGTGTGATAGTTGAAGAGAGGACAAAAGTGTAGGCAATCTGTTACGAGTCTAGATCATTTGTTCAGCAAATGATGCTGCTTTTGAATCCATCTAGATGCTTTGTGTTAATTTGAATTACTCACCAACTTAGATTATGAAATAAAGACAGTTTTCAACTTATATGTCCAGCTAATCATGGTGGTGGATAGAATCATGGTAGCTATATTGTTCTATAGTTGTTCCCAAACTTAATTGGTCTTGTTGATTTTCTTTCTTTTAATGCACATTTCTGTGCACATAGCTTTATCATGAATTTGTGGAACTCAAGAAGGATCTGTTTTTTTTTTTTTTATTCTTTCGGTTATTTTACCTTTGTTGACTCAATGTTTCATGTGCAGCTTGTCCTTTGAATTTCACACAGCCATTAGAAGTTATTAAAGCATGTCGCAATTTAGCTGCTCCCAATCCCTCCTGTTGTAGCTCATTAAATACATACATTGCTGGGATCCAAAATCAAATGTTAATTACAAACAAACAGGCGATAATCTGTGCAACAGTTTTGGGGTCCAAGTTACGACAAGGCGGGGTCATGACAAATGTTTATGAGCTTTGTGACATTGACTTGAAAGATTTTAGCATACAAGGTTTATTTCCTCAGTTTGATAGCAGTCTTTCAAAATTTTCACTCCATTTCATCCTTTATTCCATCTGATATCTATTACTTCTTTTTTTGTGGATTGTGTGTTGGTGGATGCCAAGCAGCATATGGACAACAAGGTTTGCTTCTCTCTCCCTCTCAACAATAGAGCTCATATACTGCAATTACATTTTTAGATTAAAGTAAGATTTCTTGGATACATACGGATTCCCAGTGCTAAAAGTGAATGGGATGTAGGGCATGATTTGTATATGGAATGAAAATCTCCCACCCAAACCTGGCAGTTGGCTTCCTGGAAGTTGTGGGTTTTATTTGTGTATTTAGGATATTTGCTGAAAACTTCTGGGTTGTGATCTAACTGAGGCCTGGTGAGATGATGGGTGTCGTGTTTTCCAATTTGCTTGAGAATGGAAATAAGGTTTTGTTCATTTGACTACATAAAAGAAAGTGCTTCTTAGAGTTTGTAATGTAACTGCTCTCTTTTGCAGCCTGGAAAGAAATCAATATTGTTGTTGTTGTTTATAAATTTTTCTTTTTGATTTAATTTTAGGGTGTCTACTTCGAAGCTTGCCTGCCGATGTTATATTAGACAATTCGACAGGGTTCAGCTTTACATGTGACTTGACCGACAACATTGCAGCTCCGTGGCCATCATCATCCTCCGTGTCATCTGTGTCTCTTTGTGCCCCAGGTAATGTTAAACTACTCAAGAAAGAACCAAATCTTAGCTTTTCTTTATATTTCTGAAAGAGCATGAGCAATTTGATATTTCATCCACACGCACACGTATATGCTGCTTGTTCTTAAGTTCTTGTTCTAACAGCTCCTGCCTTAATCTTGCAGAGATGTCCTTGCCTGCCTTGCCTACATCACAGATCAGAAACCCTGGTGTGTACCTTTGCCCCAAGCAATTCCTAACCGATCAACTTAGCCTTGTTCTGCTACTTGTTTGTTTGACAATGTCACAATAAAAACACACACACAGGCGCGCACATTAGTAGTTGATTGTTTTCACTCTGAGTGAACAAAGGCATATTTAATAGCATGCTGATTTCTGAATCATATATTAGTTAGCCAGCCATAGTATAAGATCATTCGTCATAAAGATTCAGCTTTGAATGTAATAGTGCTTGTTCTTGAACACAGCAGTTTCTTTTTTCTTTCCGTTCTCCCTTCGTTTCTGACATCTGTATTAATGCTTCGGCGCAGGCAATCGTGGTGGTGAGTTGGAGCTGCTGGTACCCATTTTTTCATTTTTTATTTTCAGTGCATTGGTGTACTGAAGAGATTAGTCAAGGGCTTGAACCGGTTTGAAATAGGTGGTGGTGTCTCTGGAAATTTAACCTTGTGTGGGAATTTTACTTGTATATTTTGATGAGCAGCCTTCTTCATGTATAGCAGCTTTTCATTTTTTTTTCCTTTTATTTTTAAAGCTATTTTTGATGGTTATTGTTGAAAAAGACTTTATTGATATTTTAATGGAAAATTTTCTGTGGGTGTCATCTGTTAGGGAACCAAGCATATTTGTGTGATTATTAGACAGCAGGTCATCACTGGCAGCCACTATATTTGTGGCGCGTGTTTCTACGTGCATCCCATGCAAGTAAAACAAGTCACTCATTTTGCTGTTTTGCAAATAGTTGTCAGACTCGACTCTCGAGACTGAGTAAAAAGAAAAGTTTGGGCTGCTAGGTTATCGGGTATCGGGTTAAATTCTGTAAGCCCAAGTGAAAATGATATTGTACACATTGTTTTATTTTTTTAATTTTTTTTTTGGGTCTTCATCTCTCACTTCAACTTAAAAGATCTAAAGCAATATTAAAGGAAAAAAAAAACTTAGTAGCCCAAACACTATTTTTAGGAATAACTAGTTGATTGACTAAGTGACTATTAGAAATTTTTAGATATTATTATTTAACTAGGTAAAATGGTTTACATTTTAAAAATTTAGATTTTTTATTTAGCTTGGGTTTTAGGTTAAATTGTATGAAAATTATTTTGATATAATCTTATCAATTGAGTAGGTATAGAGAAAAAAAAAAAAAGTTCTATTCTAGCTTGTAAAATTTATAAACAAATAAAATAGTTCTATTCTAGCTTGTAAAATTTATAATTTGGGTTAATCTTGATTCATTGTTAACATTATATTAATTAATAAAATCAAAAAAAAAATTTAATACTAAAAAAAACCCTAAACGGCTAGATAAAAGAGTCAAGGACATGTCATTTAAAGAAAAAGGTAAAAAATAAAATAAAATAAAAATTAAATATTAAAAAAATAAAATTGAAAGGGAAAAAAAACAAAGGGTTAATTAAAAAAGTGAAGAACAAGTCATTAAAAAAAAGTAAAAAATATTAAAAAATAAAATTAAATAAAAATATTACATTAAAGGATGTAATTGAAAAATAAAAATAAAAAAATTCAAAAAAAAAAAACATGTAGGGTCTATTACAACAAACCTCATATGGGGAGGGTCACTGGCCTAGGCTGGTTTTTTTTTTTTTTTATAAGGTCGGGTCACCAGCCTCTTTCTTTTTTTAAAAAAATAAAATAAATAGATAACATCACACCTATCTTTTGGAAGAAAATATTACTGCATGGTGAAATCAAACCCACGATCTCTAGCCACTCACCTCACCTCCGTGCTAACCAACTAATCTACTCCTTAGAGTTATTATTAAAATGATTAAAAAACTTATATTAAACAAATTTATTATTTTAGTTATAGTTATTAAATGAGAGATAACTTGACCAATTGAATGGGTTCGGATTATATAGGTTAATAAGAATTAACTTAAGAAAATTAAAAAAAAAATATGTGAGGTTTTAATATGAAAAAATTAAAAAATAATTCATATAAATATATGTGAGGTTTTAATATGAGAAAATTAAAAAATAATTCATATAAATACATGCTATATACATTATAAATAATAAGAGTTAAAATAATGGTTCAATTTAAAGTATAAAAAAATTATTAAAACCATAATTATCAAGATTTATTTAAAAATAGTGTTATTTAAAATAAAAGAATAGAAATTGACTCGATCAAGTTTAGATTTTGTCAAATTAATTAAATTATAAATTAACTAAGTACATCACTCAAATTTAATTGAATCAACCTCTTAATATATTAAAAACAAATCTTATCTATGCTAAACTCTGATTGAACTAAATCAAACTCTTAAAGTTAGTGGGTCATTGGGAACTTGATAGCTATGATTCGGTATTCAATTAGACTAAATTAATTATTTTAGGATCCTAATTCATGCAAATAATACTAACTTCATTTTTCTTGTGTAGAAAATGTGCAACTAGTATTAAATCCATAGGAATAGGATGGCACCAAAGAAGAAAATATGCAGCATTTCATCTCTTATTGCCAAATTCTAGAGTAATTAAAGCTGAAATCTCTTATTGCTATAGTCATCATCTTCTTCTCAAATCCTAGGCACTATATATGCCAGCAATGCCCAAATAAACCAGCTGAAGTCTTAAAGCTGTAAGCCTGATCATGGTGATCTACAATTCTACAAATTACCCTATCCAAGTTCAGTGGGTTCCCATGGCTAACCTGATTTTATTTCCATTTTGTACTAATATATTCCCTAATTTCCCTTTAGTTATCCAATTTCCCGATCACAAACTAATAAAAAAACATGAAAAAATTTCTTAGAAAAATAAAATCAAAGGTAATAAAACAAAACATTAGGGACTAGTAGCTAGGCAGTTGTCTTGATATATATATATATAGTTCCTATTTTATGCAAGTAGGAAAGTATTATAAGAAAATAAAAATCATAGCCCATAAAACAAGAATAAAATATGTACGAGGAACACAACCGATCTTATCCATTTTATATATTGTCTTCTTCCCCAGACCTCCCACTGCACTTCAACTACACCGTCAATACAGAAAATAACGAGCATTGGTCATGATACACATGACTTTATTACATGTTAGCTAGAAGTTGATAGGACGTTGATCACATGATTCCGATCTTCAAAGGCATATCCCCATTGGAACGCAACAGTCCATATGGCTGAACATGCAAAACCCACCTTTATCGATACAATTAGCTTCAACTTGGACATACATAATGTCTGAAAGTGGTGGAATCAGCCGCAATGCTAGGGTGGAGTGAGCGAAGGCAGCCATGAATGTGAAGGCCACTATCAGCATCATCAAACTACTAACCTTTTTACTGATAATCTCCATGCACGATTTCTGTATTACTAGCTAGCTCTCAATCAAATCACTTCTAGTGTTTGTGTGTTGCATGATACCTCGATCTCTTGAAGGGTTCGTTTTATAGTGGTGCAAAGGAGTAGACCGTACGCCAAGTCCTGTAGCCAACACATTTCTTACTTGTGTTTACTCATGGCGTGTCTGTCAATACCACGGTTCATTTGCTCATTAACAAAATCAAACATGCAAGCATCTCTTCTCAGTTACTGACACATAAGCCTTTTGACATGTCTAGCATTTAGTGAGCAACAATAAAATTTACACAGCATCCAATTGAATAAGTTTGTTTTTGAAAATTTCGCACAGCCAGCTCCTGCTGTAGCTCATTAAATACATACCGGCGATAATCTGGGAAACAGTTCTGAAAAGAAATCAATTATTTGATAATAAAACTAATAAATTTTCCTTTCCATTTAATTGCAGCGTGTCTACTTCGAAGCTTGCATGCCGATGTTATAGTGAACAATTCGACGGGGTTCAGCTTTGCATGTGACTTGACCAACAACATTGCAGCTCCATGGCCAGCATCATCTTCCGTGTCATCCTCTTTGTGCCCCAGGTAAATGTTCAACTACTCAAGAAAGAACTAAACCTTACCTGTTCTTAATTTATATTTCCGAAAGAGCACGAGCAATTTGATATTTCATCCGGAACACACACACGCACACGCACATGTATATGCAGCTTGTTCTCAAGTTCTTGTTCTAACAGCTCCTGCCTAAATCCTGCAGCGATGTCCTTATCTACCTTGTCGACATCACAGATCAAAAACCCTGGTGGGCGCCTTTGTCCCATGCAATTCGTAACCTATCAGCTTAACCTTGTTCTGCTGCTTTTTTTATTAACAATGTCACAATTATAAACACACACGCACATCAGTAATTGATTGTTTTCACTGTGAGCGAACAAAGGCATTTGTAATGGCATTCTTATTGCTGGATCATACAGTAGTTAGCCAGCCATTGTATAAGATCATTCACCATAAAGACTTAGCTATAAGATCATTCACCATAAGTTACAATTATTAGCGTGGTTTTTAGCAACAAGAATTGTGAACTTAAAGTTTGAAATGTGCTTAATAAAATTGAAGTTTCTATATATGTAGCAATATCATCAAAATGGTGGTCCAATGTTTTATTTATAAAAAGAATGGTTTGATGATGTTTTTAATACACATAAATTAAATCGGGTTAATTTATCTGTTATGTGACTTAATCATAGCCCTCCTTGGGTTAAACAACCTTGTTTTTTAAGTTAATTTTTTTAATAGAAGGATTTATTATTTTTTTAAAAAATATGAGATAGGGTAATAATCAAAATTTAAATAAAAATAATAATACAAACAAAAAATACCCAAAAGAAAGAAAGGAAATTTTGAAATAAATAAAGATAAAGAAAAAAAAGGCATGGTGTTTCATGCCCTGACAACAAACTCTATAAGGATAGACAACATTTTTTCTATTAAAAAAATAATGCATTGTTTATTGAAGCAAATAACATGTCACTTATAAATTTAAAATTTGATCATATATGTAGTGGTAAAAAATTAGGAGTTGGGATTTGACTAAAAAATTAATTTAATATATTTTTATAAAAAAAACCTCAAATAAATATCATATAAACATGTTTAAACCATTAATAAGCTCTAAAACACCATAAACCACCCAAAAAACTTAGAATTAATTGGATAAAAAACTCAATCCATATTTTTTAATATGTTTAAAGAAAAAACCATTATTATCAAACTCAAATTGTTGAATAAGACCCGTTGGCACAAAGATTTACCATTTTCATCATTGGATTGTGGAGAATTTATAACTTTTTCTTTTTATTGTTGTAATCTAATGATTTTTTTCATTTTTATCATGCCATTTTTCACACTTTGATCCTATGTTTTTTAATTATGTTTCTGTACAAAAAAAATATAAGAAATCAATAACCACTTGGACAAAAGAAGGATGAAATTAAAAAACAAAGATTGAACAATAAAAAAAATTCATTTATATTCCCTTTTCTTTATTCTTTTACTTGATATTAATGTAGCATTACTTGTTCTTAAGCACAAAGACTTATTTTTTATTTTCATTATCCCTTTGTTTTTGATATTTTTGGATAAATGATTCAACATAAACAATCACGATGGTCAGTTGGAGTTACTAATACTTGTTTATTTATTTTTTATTTTCAATGCATTATTATATTGAAAAGTATTAAGATTTATTATCAATAATGTTTAAAATTAAGAATACACAATTTA